CACTCCACCAAGAGAACAAGAGAACTCTGCAACAGCACAGTGTGGTGAGAGCGACAGGGCAGGGCCTCCTCTGGCTCAGGCCTACTCAATAGAACCCCCTCTGGGAATCAGTGGGAGCCTACAACACTTCCATATGCAGCCACGGCCTTGCCAAAGAGGCCAAGAACTCTTCTCATTTGGTGATGAGAAGAGTAAACCACCTCCTCACCTTTTCTGCAAAAGATCCCTTGGCAACCACTGATAGAAAAAGGAAATCACCTACCCCTTAATCATCAATCACCCTCAATCCTTAGATCAGAAATGATGCAGCAATTTGCAGCTTGTTTTCATGACCTTATTTATTTTATAAACAACCCGAAAGAGGTTGGGAGCCTGGCCAAAGGTCTTAACAAAAGTAGCAGAGGTACTTTTGTAGTCTTGTAGTCCCTCCCCACCAACTTCCTACCACTACTGTGGACAGTTCCTGCCCTGCCGGTAGGCCCACACCCCTCCTTAGCTCACCCTGATATCCACACCCTGCTAAGGATATTCAAACCAATTCCTCTCAAGGGACTACTCCAAGATTAGTTGGCCTCATTGCTGCAGCTCACCCCAGGAAGTGGACAAGGAAGCTGATCAAAGGCCAAACTTGGTTACTATTGGTTCCCTTTGGTGCCAATGCTTGCTGCCTCTTAATTTCACCCTCCAACTTGGTCTCCCTCCCTGACTCCATATAAACTCTTTTCGCTTCCCTAAAGCACTGCTCAATACTCCTCCCCACATGATTATTTCCCTTTGGCCTTTCAGCTTATGATCGCCTCTGAACCAGAGCTAGAAGCAGCAGGCCAACTGAGAGCGGAGAAGGACTTTCTAGAAGCAGAAATCTTTGGGGAACAACTCAGGATTTGAAAGATGCCCACTGGAAAGCCCTCTCACCAGCTGCTTCAATCTGCATGCCAATGTGGCTGCTGGCTTTTCCACCAGAAAAAGCCTGCTCCTGGACAGAACAGCTCATAGCACTTGCTTTTTTGTGGTGAGTGTGAGAATCCCATGCCTGACATACAAAGAACAGAACATTCAGGCTGGCACTTCAGGAGGAGGTGTACAAGTTATACAATGTTGCAACACTCAGGTAGGAGCTCTTCCTTAGCTCAGCTCAAGTTTTCCCTCACTAAATATTGAACAACTCTATTACTAGCTCTCCAGCCTCACTGGCATATGCTGTGCTACCAATCAGAGATGGGCTGAATGGGCCCTGTCATGCTCTCCTATGCCTCTTATTCCTAAAAATTTACCTAATGCTGCAAGGAAAAGCATGCAGAAATACTAATTTGTAAGGGAATCACAATACTGACTTAACTGGGAGGTCCCCCCCCCACACACACACCCCCACCCCAGGGTGAGAAAAGCAAGTCCTGCCTTTTCAGAGCCTTCTCATCCTGTGGTCTGAAGTCAGACATCACTTTGTGATAGGCACCTGATCTGATATCCCCAATCTCTTGTAATGTAGGAGGTTTTGTTTTCTCTCTCTCATACTATCTTGTTATTGTTCCTATCACTTGTCACAGTTTTTGTGTACAAGTTCACAGTAATTGTAATCTTGTTTGGGCACTTTATTTGTTTAGTTTCTGTCTCTCCCACTCAGAGACAGCGCTCAGAAAGGCAGGGACCAGGTTTGCTTTATTCATCATTTTATTCCCTGTGTCTGGTACATTCTTGTACCTAGCAGTTTTTGTTTTTTTTTAATTTATACAAGAACCAGGGTATAGGCCAGATGTGCAGGAGGGTGAGAGGATTCACCAGAGACAGAACGGGGAATAAAACAGGCAGACTGATTGAAATACACTGCTGAGGGGAGCAGCGGGAGATGTTTTAAAGACATTTTTCGAATCGTGATTAAGTGCCCCAATCCATGTATTCCCCCAAATCTCCCACAATTCTCACAGGTACCTCCTATTCCACTCGCTAACTCGCAGCTACTCACACACCTCTCTGAATCTCTCCTTATCCCCTCCTTAGAAATACCTCCTTCCCACTGCTCCCCTCTTATTCCTCCTTACCAAAACTAGCTGTGTCCGTCTATAGTTTTCACCAGAGCAAGTATCTTTTTCAGTAGCCTAAGCTCTGGGGCAGAAGATATCTTTCAAGGAGTTAAAAGGGAAATTGGGGTGATGAAACACACAACAAAACATATCAAAGAAGACACCCCCAAGTTAGGATAGATCAAAATATTGTATGTTTTGAGTTGTGTGCTAGAGGTCACAGAGGTGTGGGAGATTGATTGAGCACTCACTAGCACAGTCAGGAAAGGCTTCCTGAAGAAAGGGCGTTTACACTGGCCATCAGAGAATGGGGAGCAGTGGAACAGGCAGAGATAAGAGAGGGGAAAGAAGTCTTAAGTGAAGAGGTAGCTGCAAGATGCCAAGAGACAAGAGGAGGTAAAGGACCTGGCTGGACCTACCAGAAAGAAAGTTGGCATGAATGGTAGACATATGGCCAGCTGGGAAGGGCAAAAGCCTTCGGTAGCTAGCTCAAGCATCAATGAGTAAGTTTAAGGTAGATGTAGGATAACTATGATGATTCAGGACTGCCAGGATGGCAGGCACATCACCAGAACTTCTCTTTCCTCTGTTGAAGACCATTCTAGACCATGGAGGTGCAACCATGTCGCTCTCACTGAACCAGGACTCTGCCTCAAAATCCATCTTAACACCAGCTCCAGGCAGCCCTACTGACCAATGAGCACTGGCATGCGGGGTGAGGTCTAATAGTCATCATGCTTCATGTGCCCCACAGAGGAGGGGGCATAAAGAGACTATGTAGAAATGTTTCTTGAGCTGTAGTGGGAACATTTAAAGGTACTGCAGAGAAGTACTGCAGCATCCCCTAATCAGAGAATCAGTTTTCAGTTTAAATCTCAACTGAGATGGGATTCTTCCTGATGAGATATTTGGACTATCACTTTTATCTTCTGTTTAGCAGAACACAAAGCACAGACCAAAGACCACAGACAAACAATAGAAATATAACTGAGGCATGCTGCAGCCACACCAGCATTAAACATAAAGTATTAGGTGTTCACAGCATGTGGCCGTCACTCTCTAACAAATAGCGCTGGCTGCCTCTAGCTCACTGAGCACCAGCAGAAGGAAAAAGGGGTGAATAAAGTGGTTTTTATATCCAGGCTCCTATAAATCAGACTGCCAGCAAATAAACCTGGGGGTGAAGGACCAAGGAAGCAATTGGCTATAAAAGCCACTCACAAGAGCACTCCCACTAGTGGAGGGGTAAAGAGACCTCACTGTTACCAGTCCAATAAGGCCTCCCTGTAATTAGACTTTATCAGAAGATGACTGGATTTATGATGGGCAAACTTCGCTTTCAGCATCTGCTGTGAGCCACTGCTCAGGATGTGAACAGATCTCACTTCCAGAATGCAGTTCTTGGTGCTTTGCAGGAGGCAAGTGAGGACTATCTGGTTGGTCTTTTTGAAGACACCAACCTGTGTGCTATCCATGCCAAACGTGTAACAATTATGCCAAAAAGACATCTGGTCAGCGAGCTCCACATATGTGGAGAATGTGTTCAAGAATCCACTGTGATGGGAACACTTCATTCTAAAAAAAAATTCTCTTCTTCCAGTTATTGGTAGTTCTCAACATTAAAATTTTCCCACCAAGGGGCTATAAGGTACCTAAGTATATGATTGCAAATGGGAAAATAGGGGACAGAAATCAGGTGCTGGCAGTTTTTCCATTTAAATTTTTGTGTTAAATTTTAATATAAATGTGGAGACATAAAACATTAATGCAAGTCAAAATGTTTCAGGGAACAAGTTTCAGCAGTTCAACTTTATAATAATTATAAATAAAGCTGTTCAATTTTTTTCTTGAGAATGCCAGCATTTGGTTATTTAAAAATAAGTAAATTTCTTATTGATGGCAACGAAATGGTACATGTAGCATTTTTATCATACAGTAGATTCCATCCATTCAGTATACTTTTCTAATTGAGTTGTCCTATAGGCAAGAATATGTTTTTAGTGTTGTCTGTCTTCCGTGCTGTTCCTTTAAGTTTGCTGTTAAAATACATTAAACTATACAAATAGGTAAAGTACTAAATGGGCACAGTGTACAGTATATGACTATCTCAATAAAGCTGCCCCCTCAAATGTTAAGCACCAAGCCAGCATATAGTAAAGGGACTTGAAGAGAAATTCAATTCTCTTTGCAATATGAGAAAAATTAGGTACTCAGGTTTCGCTTTTGTAACTGACCAAAGTTCACTAGGAATTATCTACTCATAGCTACATGCGTAGACCCTGACAAAGTAGCAACATCTCACTAGAGACTAAACTGAGGCTAAATAATGTGGTATAGTTATAGCAGAGGTTCAAAAGAACTGAACAAAATACAAATTTAGACAGGCTCAGAATTAGAGACTAATTTCGAAGCCAGAATTTTCCAAAGAGTAGTCTGTGAAGCACACTGGTTTTGTAAGATGTTAATAGAGATAACATGAAAAAAATGCTCCATAGTTAAATAAACTTGGTAAACACTGGGTTAAACAAAGCTGGAAAGTCCTTTACTGCAGGACCTCTCAGAGCCCTTACAATGTCAAGAAACATCACGACAGGGCAGAGTGTGTCGTGTTTCCTGAAGGGATTTATCTATAGATCCTTCTGGCTCCCCTACCACTCCCAAAAGTGTCTCGAAGGACCAATATTCCTAATAACATACTATAGGAAAGGTTGGTCTAAGTCATCCTCAGTTGAAGACTTCACCAATTCTAATAAGTACAAAATTGGAAATCAGTATAGAACTATAAATCATATATGTGGTTCTCATGCCATCATTTGGGTGCAGTTAATTCAAAGTACCCCTTCCAGTATCGTTCTAGAGACAAGCCAATGGACTCTGGTACTGACAGCCAAGAGCTTGGAGATGGAAAAGGTAAAACCAGGCCAGGAGCCACAGTAGTTGGGCTGGTTCTCCCTGGGGGTGGCCTCTTGTCATACTTACCCTTATCAGGGCTGGAATGATACGGCAGAGAACATCCTTTGTGGCCTTTTGTCTCTTTTCACTTGTGCGCCCACTCATACATCATCATCACTGAACTTAAAATTGATCCTCAAGAATCACAAGTTGATATCTCATTCTCAATTTGACATCTCTGCATGACAATAAATGGAAGTGCATATTTGCTACCACTGGCTCCTGAAAATATAAAGTTTGGGGGAAACTCCTACTGGATGCCAGGCCAGACATGCCTCCTCCCCTACCCGCACCCACCGTGGGGCTTCCTTGCCTCCTTCCTAGCCACCTTCCCAAGTCCAGAGTCCCTCCCTAAAGACATGGCATTCACTCTGTTTGTGGGTTATGTGCTTACTTCTGAACTCCAGTGCAGAGCCAAATCCAGACCAGCTCTGCCTCCTTCCTTCCTTCCTTCATCCCACCCAGATGGCCAGATTTCCATCAGTCTCCTTAGGAAACAATGGCTTGGGAGCCGGCTGAGCCACGCCTCTTGCTTCCTTCAATCAGCACTTCTGGGTGTCTGTTACCCTGATGATTCCCTTCCCACCCACTCTGCGGCTCCCTGCACCAGTCTGACAGGGTCTGCTACAAAGCATGAAGCAGATAAGCCTAAGAAGCTGAATCTCTTAGGCTTGTCCCTTTCTAGATACAAGGTTCCATCTGCCCTTTCAAGGAGTAGGGAGGGTCCCTGAGGTTAATCAGGTTCAAGCAAAGAAAGGCTCTGTTTCCATTTCTGTTCACTCTGGGTTACAGTCAGTCAAGGACAGTAGGCAATCAGGGGCTAGACGTGACTCAGTCTGCCTCCCAGCCATGGTGGAAGTGCCTGCCTGCAGAGGCTACACGTCAGGCCTTTGAGAAGCCAAGTCACCTCTGGGCAATCTTATCCCAGAAGCCTGCTCCTTGACACACCCAGTCTGGAAGATAGTAGCCTGAGTGCTGCTTACACCCCTAGTGAAGCCTTCCAGGGTGGCCTTGGAGGAGGGAGGTACATGTTCCTTTCTATTTTGAGCACTAACTCACACATCCATTCTAGAAGAAATCATGAAAGGACCCAGTTCAGCCAATTAGTTAGAAAGCCATACATTTGACCAGAATGATGGTAAAAGGCTAGGTCAGAAACTGAAACATGAAACACTCTTTCAGTCAACAAAGGATTCTAGTTTCCCTTTATCAAAGTGCTGTTGGGGGGGGGGGCCCACAGCAGCTCCTTGCCACCACCAGTTTATTTGCATTCATCAAAGCAGTTTGTATGGAAAAGTATTCACTGGTAGGTGAGTGCTTCTCACTTTTGAGGTTGTGGGGGCAGTGTCACTCTGCTCTCTGGTTTTGCAGGACTCCTGGATCCCCTATAATCCAAGAATGCAACTTCAGTAGTAGAGCAAAGGAAAACAGCAGCCTTCTCCCCTATAAGCACTTCCTGAGGACAAGAGGTACATAGGTCCTCAAATCTCCTGAGGTGGTGATGGTCCCTCTTGCCCTCCAGATGTCCATGCCAGAAACTTAGGAGTCATCCTTGACTTGCTACTCTTCCACCCCACCTCCGAACAGTTACCACACCCTGTCTATTCCTCTTTAGTAGCCGCTGTTTATGTCCCCTCCTCTCTTTCTGCTCTAGGGTAGACTTTCATCATCTCTTGCCTAGATTATCATACACACCTCACATTAGTTACCCAACCTCCAATCTCACCTTCTCCAATCTCTCATCCACCACTTTTGTTACTTCCTCATAATTTCTGCCTGGAACTCTTGCCCCATCTCATCGTAAGGGTCTGTCAAGCTTCTAGTCCTCTTGTAAAGGACAGTTTAGCAAGGTCAGCTCTGTGAAGTGCTTGCTGACCACTTGATGAGAGCCCCTCCTGCTGTCCTTTGGTCCTGCTGGACCTGGTCCTTACTTCTCTTGCAGTGCTCATTACCCTATAGTGCCTCAATCTGTTTTGAGCACATCTGGCAGAAAGCAGGTGTTTTTTTTTTTTTTTTTTAAAGATGTATTTATTTATTTATTTATACAAGCACTGGGTACAGCCAGAAGCGCGGGAGGGTGAGAGGATTCACCAGAGCCAGAGCGGGGAACAGAACAGGCAGACTGACGAAATACACTGCTGAGGGGAGCAGCGGGCGCAACAGGAGAGGTCTGCGCACCATGTGGGATCCTTGCCGGTGGCCGGGGATCGAACCAGCGCTGCAGAGGCTGCGGGCAGATTCGCAGCCCAGTGCTCAACTGCTGCGCCACCAGGGGAGGCCCAGAAGGCAGGTTCTTAATGTTTGCTCATTGAGAAGAGAAGGGAGGAGCTGAAGGTCTGAGCAAACCAGATTCTCACTTTACAATATAGGAAGAAAGTGGGGGTGCCTTTTCCTAGAATGTGAGAAACACTCTGGGTCATGAACCACAGGAACGAATCTATCCTTGAATCAAAAAGTCATGTGACTGAGACAACTTGGAGCTCCCAGATCATAGAATCTTCCATAGCCACTTCTGATTATCTTCACAGCATTTTCTCTGCCATTTTTAGGAGTGCTGTGGTGCACTGACTGAATTAGTATCCTGGCCATTCCCATGCTTGGGTGTCAGGATGCAGGAGAATCTAAAATGCCATTCCAAGCTCACATGGTCAAAATGTCAGGACCTCAGCATTCCTAATCTTCTCCCAAGGGAAGTGTACACTTTCTGGGAAACACCCGCCATTGATCTCCACTCTTTCCTGACATATATTTAAAATCTTCCTGTAGCCCCTTGAACCCACCCTTCTCCTGCTGCCCAGGAGAATTGGAATTGAGCATATTGTCATGAAGTAAAAAATGACTTAATGGATAACCTAGGTTTCAGGGAGACCAGACTAGCATTTCTCTCAAGCATACAGATACCCTGTCTGGTGCCACATGCCTTTTTTTTTCCTTTTTTTTTCTTTTGGTCTCTTTGGTCTCTGCACAGGAGGCAGAGTATTTTACCTGACACAATTGAGTGCTTAAAAGTTCCATTTGTATTTTTGCAACAACTATTTCTCTTCAATTGCAGCTGAAGAGAAGACATAGCCTGTGAGACTGCACTCACCAGTCTAGCAGACAGACAACCAGGCCAGAGAGCTATCCCTGCCGTTCACACAAACAATAGCCCAAATTCAACCCAATTGCTCAACAGAGCACCCTGGATAGCTGGGAGTTTCCAGAAGTCGATGAGGTGTGTCCCACAGATCAGAACTGGCAGGGTTCTTTTTTTTTTTTTTTTTTTTGGAATATCTGTGCAAGAAAAACTCAGGGTTATCTAGGAGATAGACACAGAGGAGTGGAGCCCAGAGGCTTGGTCTCCAAGAGGAGCTCTAATTTCTTTCATAAGAAAACAGGAAGAGACCCTGGGGAGCTCTCAGGGATAGGCCTAGGCCTGGTTCAGCTGTGGAGATGCAGCCAGGCCAATTAAATAATTGGCGAGATGGGGAAACAAGGGAGGCCACTCCCTTCAGGCAATCTCCCACCCCAGACAGGAGGTTCCATGCAGCTGTGGCAATAGCAACAACAGAGCAGGGAACTCTTCCTCTTCCTCCCACTAGCTGAGAACTATTGCTTAAATTAGCACCCTGGAAACACCCAGATCTGCTGGCTGTGCCTTCTCTCTCAGCCCCTGCCACAACCTTAGGCCTCTCTTTCAAGCTTGAGTTTCTCTTTTAAATAAATAACAATAATAATAAAAGATGCTCTCTCCATACAGCTCATCTTGCCAGGTATGAATGACCACTGGATTTTTCCCACCATTGTGGGGGAAAAGGTTATTTGATGATGGAACCCATGTGATAGGTGTCTATTAGCATTGACTGGTCCAGAGGGTCAGAGAGAGCTCCTACTCCACCTTCAGAGAGCACACACTGAGAGAGTGAGCAAGAACAGCAAACCTCTGCTGACCTGGGAGCTGAACAGGAGGGCAGGGCCTTATCTAGGTCTGTGTTGCTGTGTTCTCAAGTGCCTACTATGTATCTGGAACAGAGCAGTTGCTCAATAAATATCTGGTGAAATAATTTGCTGAATCAATGGTATCAGGTCACTAGAATATTCTTTGGAAGAATGAGGAGCTATTGTTTAAACTTTATTTATTTTTTTTTAATATTTATTTATGCATCCAAGATCTGGGGTACAGGCCAGAGGTGTGAGAGGATTCACCAGAGACAGAGTGGGAAGCAGAACAGGCAGACTGACCGAAATACATTGCTGAGGGGAAGCAGCGGGCGAGTCAGGAAAGGTCTGCTGCGCCATGTGGGTAGCTCCCTAGCTGGGGATCGAACTCATGCTGCAGTGGCTGCAAATAGCTTCATAGGTTGTGTCTTAACCCCCTGCGCCACTGGGGAGGCCCTATTGTTTAAACTTTAAAAGAGATAGATTGTCTTCATTTCATGAATGGGAAAACTGAGAACAGGGTAGAGGAGACACTTCCACAAGGTCTCAGACCCAGCACAAGGTCTCACTGAATAATTGCAAAAAATGAAATAGGCCACAGCTGAGTCTGGGACCCTTGTTTTCACACTTTACCTAAAAACTCCTAAGAGCCATTTTTGCTCCTCTCCTTGGTCCTTTACTTCCATAGGATGACACTTTGATGTCTTATGCCCCCAGATGAGACTTGGGGGAAACTCCACACCAGATTCTGCCGGTCTCAATAATGTACAGAGCATCTGATGAGTTTTTGGAAATCCTCTAGACTTCAACCTGGGAACAGGGGTCAAGAAGCACAGAGATACAGGGCAATGTCTAAGGCTTTCACTCAATCTCAACAAAATACCCTTGTGCAGAGAGGGCTCCTTTAGTCTACAAAAAAAGGCAGGGGAGGGGTCTGAAGGCAGCCACAGCTTTTCTGATGAGTGCCGCCTTGCCATAGCACTTCTACTCCAGAGTGACACAGATTAGAAATAGCTCGAGCCTTCTCCACTACTCAGTAAAATCATCACTAAGAACTTCAGGCAACAACAGAGGCACCAAGGACAACTGAGAGAGCTTGGTTTCCCTCACCGCTTTGCCTGGATAGCTATGGCCCCTCTTCCTAGGAACCCCAGATAGAAGAGAACTATTCATTGCTTTCTTCTCCTAATCCACTTGGACCTCATTTTCCATCCATTCTCCCTGGGTTCTTGATTAGATGCTTAAAACTGGAAAGGCAATCTAGTTTGACAAGTCAGGCTGACTGCAAAGGTAACCCAGAAAGGAAAGTTTTCTTGGGCCTCCCCGGTGGCGCAGCGGTTGAGCGCTGGGTTGCGAAGCTGCCCGCGGCCTCTGCGGTGCCGGTTCGATCCCCGGCTGCTCCCCGGCCACCTGAGGAGGGTCCCACATGGCGCGCAGACCTCTCCTGCCGCCTGCTGCTCCCCTCAGCAGTGTACTTCGGTCCTTCTGCCTGCTCTGCTCCCCGCTCTGGCTCTGGTGAATTCTCTCACCCTCCCGCGCTTCTGACTGTACCCAGTGCATGTATAAACAAAACAAACAAACAAATAAATAAATAAATAAATAAACATGCCTCTATTAAAAAAAAAAAAAAAGAAAGGAAAGTTTTCTTAACCCAGCTCAAAGTTCTTAAAGTTCATAGGGACAGATGCCTCGCCAGGATGTTCTGCCCCTTAAATAACCCAATGATGACATCAGACTAAGAAAAAAAGTCCTGCAGCATCTCTCTCCCCAGTTTAATATTGTAGATTTCCATAAAACTTTGAGGCTTTGGCTTCTAGAACCAAGTACTCACAAAAGAGAGGAGAGACCACCTATATCTCCTGCTAGGTGTCCTCTAATTCTCTTAACCATTACCCCAAAAGGTGTGGCTTTGAGTTAGCCATGAGCTACAAGGTGGGTCCCCACCAAGGTCCATCTTGGCTGCTATAATGGGCAGGTTCCTTGCCCAGGACACCACAAAGCACATCTGTCAGCCAGGGAGCCTGAGGGGAGAACCTGTTTCTCACCTCCCCACCTAACTCAGAGCTCTGGGAATCCCAGAAACTTCAGAAATCGGGGAGCTCTGCTTGGGTCCAGTTGAGTTCAGAGAGAAAAAGGCCAACACCTTTAGCCTCACGGCCTATCCTGCCACCTTCCAGCTGCCCCTCAAATTCCAAGGGAGAAAGGAGAAGGAAACTCGTCCCTTCCTCCTGTCCCTATACCAGCTGGCTAGGCCTCAGCATCTCCAGCCCTACCTACAACCAGGCAGGCAA